CCCCAAAACCCCAAAACCCCTTGTTTAATAATTGCCATGTTTTGTTGATTGGGTAAATATAATTTAGATTTTAAAAAAATTAAAAAACTATAGGTAGCAATGAAACAAGAATTTTTAAAAAGAAATCTCAACTACTTCTTTTGCTTAGATCCATAATTTAAGAATCATAGAGAAATAAATTCCTGCTTGAGCAACCAGCTAATGGAAAACTGGTCTATTCAAATATCTATACCTTCGTCATTTCTTCAAGTTTACTAGTCTTCAATTTTTTCCTTATCTCCTCAGATGGATGCTTTTCTCTTTAAAATTAATCACCACAGACTAATCCATGCAGAAGCTTTCTATCTTTTTCCTTCACTAATTTTTATTTAAACATTCTATTCAGAGTATCTCTAATATGACTCATTTACTCATTACTCATGCTAAAATTATTCCGTGTATGTTAACGGTCAATAATCGATGTTGAGGAGGAAAGATTATCTTGTGTTTTAAAGCAATTCTGCTTATGTATTAAATTTCTAAATCCATATTCCAACAGCAGCTTCCTGTCATCAGATAAAATATGATCTATCAAAAGCTGAGTTTTCTTACTTAAATTGATGTATTAAATCAAATCAAGATCACTTTTAACCTGTCTTACACCTACTTAATATCGATTATAATTTTCTTTCAATTGCTAATATTTGTTACACATGTTTCTGTTCTATTCAAAAAAGCCAGTGATTTTACATGCTGTATATTTGATGATATCTAAGGGAGATACAATGAAATATTTCCTATGAAAAAGCATTTCCCTAATATAGTCGAAGGAATATCTTTATAACTTTGGCTTCTAAGATTTCAAATCATCTTTAACATTTAAGTCAATTTGCATATTACTATTGTTACCTGAATTTACTATTTTGCTAGCTGAAAATCTCTTAATGATTTCATGCCTTTTGATATCTATTGTCTTTACACTATGATTTGTCATTTCAATTTAGCTTCCAACCAAGTACCCTTAACTTAAAATTTGGCAAAAGAACATTGTTTCTCTGAACTAGTAATACAAAATAAAGCCAATGAATAATAAAGAATTATAAACTCCTCCTAACTCTCCTAGAAGCTAATTAAATGTGTAAGCCTATCTTTCATAATCAAAAAATCTCTAATCAAGTTTAATTTCAGATGTAAAGAAGATGTTTCCATCTTTAAAGGAACTTCTAGGTATATATTAATGCTCCTTATATGAGAGCTGTAAGTATTAATCGGATACTTATGGATACAAAAGTGAAAGTGCTCGATCTCATAGGTGTAGTTGATTGCGTTAATAGTAAAAATTATAGCTAATTGTTTTTTGATAATCTAAAGGGAATTTTACTTCATCAATCTCATACTATATGAAATTTTCCTGAGCATCTTCTTAAAATTATTAAGAAACAAGATAGATATAAATCCATTTATTTTCTAGCCATTTTTCCAAATCCTAGTCAGTTGAACAATTGTAGCCTGTGCATCTTAAGAATTAGATATGTATAGATTAATACTACATGGAATTCTCATATCCCTAGATACTACTATTCTATGAAGATGGGCATTAATATTAAGAGAGTTCATAGTCTCTGAAATACTATTCCTCTAAAAAAGAGAAATCATCAGGATAATTGCAGTTTCTAATTTATATATTATTGAAACTATGAGACTGCTCAGTCTATTGATCACTAGTAATCTCACTATCTATTATCTAAGTTGCTTGATGCTATACAATGTTGAATGATCCATAAAAAGAATCATTGTATATCTAGCTTTTCTCATAGTTAGAAATCATAAATGCCCAGGTGATTTTTTTTTCTGATAAATTAATTTCCTGTGTTGGCATATTTTTAAAGACATAATTAGCACCTTGCTTTACAGTGTATAAGTTTTGATTTTAAATGTCATTTATTCTTTAGATACTTAATGCAATCATCAAAACAACAACGATCATTGAGAAAGCTCCTCCCATTATTGTTTTGAATTTATGCTAGCCATTTAGACTAAAGTTAATGGGTTGAGAGTAAAGATCGAAGCCCTTCACAAAATGTGTAAATATACTAGTGCTTTAAATTTCCATTACTTATAATCTATATTTAACTTACTGACTATTATTCCAAAAAATATATATATTTATTTCTGGTTAAAGCTGATTTGTGCTATACTCTCTCAAATTCAACTATCCGGGGTTTTGGGGTTTTGGGGTTTTGGGG